CCGAAATTTTCATTAAAAAAGGACAGATAATCCATCATTTGCAAACATTTTTTTCCATTTTATAAAAACGATGAAAATCTGACTTTGATATTCTTTTAAAAATCAATTATCATTTTTTCAAAACTTATTTTAATAGAATCAGAAATTATAATGTTTATTTAAAATATTTTGAACCAAGCTTAACTTAGCTTCTGTGCTGAAAAAATGTAATTTGAAAATAAAACAAAGCCGGTCATAATCTTTCGCGTCATTTGACAGGTGTCGAAAGACATTTTCATGATGTTTAGATAATTTATGGGAGGATAATTCTTTCTACGGATGGAAGGAAGTGAAATTATTTAGATTTAAGTGAACAAGTTACTTCGTTACTTTTAAGGAAAACTTTTCAGCACTCTAATTTTTTTTTTTTTTTTGTACTTAGCTTTCATCTTTACGTTTACGATGCTTTATGGAAAATATATTATAAAGAATTTAAAAAATAAGACTGTTAAGAGTGAGATTAAATTTCATAAAGATATCTAATTTATAGGTACCTTTCTTATGAAATTTTATCAGAAGTGTACATAAAATACTATAATTTTATGTACATTTATTACATTTTACTGTGTTATTTGTATTTCCATTCATTTTGTTATTAATTTTGATATTTCATTTATGGAAAAATGTCATAACTGAGATTAATATAAAAATAAGATCATATAAATTAAAGTTTAGCTGTAGTTAAATTTCATAAGATGATACTGATACTTATAGGTATCCTTCTCATTTGAAATTGAAAACTCAAATTAACTTCTCCGTACGTGTTTCGCAAAAGTAAAGGCCTTGACAGCGGCAAACAATGCTGAACTCAAATAATGCAACTTAATTGTATTCTGGTTGGTCTTCCGTACTTTATAATTACCGCCCGATTATAAACACAAAATTACATTTCTTAATTACTGCGGATCTTCTGATTGGTCCAAATGATACAATTTTCAAAGTGCTAGACAATCTCATAAGGACACTTAGAAAAATTGATGTGGCTTTTAACTAATTTTATAATATTTTTAAAAAACTTAATGTAAAAATCTATTATAATTAAAGAAATAACAAATAATTGTATTAAAAATTCAATTTTCATTGAAAAACTTTTTTGCTTTCGGAAAATATTGTCCATATTCATAAAAACAACTAAAAACAAATAAAGGCATTTGAAATTAAATAGTATCTTTGTTTTATTGAGTTTTGTATGTTACAATTCAGAGCAGATTTTCAGGTACTGCGGATCCAAATTAAAAAAAAAATGATTTGCATTCTTCAAAACCTTGTGCTTTTAACTATTGTAATCACTAAACCTGATGCGATCGAATTTCTAGAGTTTTTCATAAAATTAGTTATGGTTGTGTTAATAAATATAAAAAAAACATATTTCTGCCATGACTTTAATAAAAAAAAAAAAAAAAACATATAATAATTTCGATCATCTGTGAATAGCTTCTGAAAGTTTCATTAACATCCGACAATTACTTTTATTTTTGCAAGATTTTCCAAATTAATGTGTGTAATACAAAAAAAACCTGCTAAAAATTGTCTGTTATTTACTAGTCTCGGTTGGTACAAAGAGAAACGAGTTTTTTAATCAAAATTTAGAATGTTCTAAAAAGAAGAAAAAAATTTTTAAAATAATTAAAAAAAAAAACTTTGGTCTTTTCTCTTCATAAAAACATAAGCATTTAGACGATAAAATTTTGTTTTCATAAAGTTTGGCATGGTACCTAATCTTACTGCATATTATGAAATTAGTATAAATGACATTGGATTGTACAGAGATGATGGACTTATGGTTGTAAAGAATTCTACAAACTTCAAAATCGATAAAATTAGAAAACTATTACATAGAGAATTTAAATGCCTAAACTTGAAAATTATTGTAAATACTAAAATGAAACAAGTGATGAAATCATATTTTCAAAAAAGAAAATAATTATGATATTATATATATATGTGTGTGTGTGTGTGTGTATATATATATATATATATATATATAAATAATATTTTTCAACGCATGAGGTACTACCAGTGGTGTAGACAGGTAAATTAAGGTGAAGAAAATAAAGTGTTTTAAGTGGTTCAATAAATATGTAAATTATTTTTAGGTAGTGTATCTTTTAAGCAACAAAGTGAATAAAAATATGGGGATAAAAACTATTTTCAGCTGATACATTTCATCTTTTGAGGGAAATATCAAGGTGAGTGTAGGATGTATTTTCTTGCACATGTTTATATACAAGAGCAAGGATGTCATTGTTTTATCCTGGCTTTTAAATTTGAGGAAGTTCATGAATATTCATTAGGCTGAAAGGTTTGAAGAAAAAATTGAAAATTGGAAATATTCACATACATCATATATAATGTTTGAAAGCATTTCAACCACCTGATGATGAATATCCATGAACATTTTCAAAGTTAAAACCCTTGACAAGGCAATTACCATTTACAAAGAGAAGAATAGTTTTTCCTCTTGTCTTTTTATTCATATATATATATATATATATATATATATATATATATACAGGCACACCACAATTCTTGATGGCCAGTGATTGGTGACTGATCTCTCTTCCGATCTTGTATAAACTACCCAATGAGATAAAAACTGGCTCATTACATTCAATGCCGTGAAGAATAACCTAGTTACATTTCATCATCACCGATCTGACCCTGAACTCCTACCATTGAAGATGAATTGAGTTCCTCTAGGGTAAGCACCATGCCTTGAAAGAATGTTGGGCCACAAATTTACATCCGACCTTAAGTGGGACTTGTACATACGATCTGTTGCTAAGGATGCAGGTAAAATGGTTGGCTCCCTGTACTGCTCCATTAAGTACCTGACTCCTGTTATCCTCTAACTTTACAAGAGCCAGATCAGGCCAAAAATGGAGTACTGTTGTCATATCTGGGCAGGAACTGCCAAAAGAGTCTTTGAGCCCTTGTGGGTTACAAATTATTCTCCACCCTTCAACTCCTCCCCTACAGGTGATATGTGACAAGACTCTCATTGCTCTACTGCTACTACCATGGAAAGTGCTTGAATGGACCACATTCCTTGGTCCCACCAGGGCAAACATTCATGGCAATAATACACCATGCCACTTACATAGTAGTAAAACAACAACATTCCCTCCATATTTCATCAGTGAGAAGTGAACCCCACTCAAGCAGCTTCTTCCGACGAACCCTAACAGGATGTTTCCCTGATCACAACAATCTTAACCTGTCCAAGGCTAGGGTTGATCATTACCTCCCTCACCTGTGCACAGAAATGGCCTCCCCACATAACCCTCTACCTGAAGTGGCTATCGGGCCTTCTAAAGAGTGACTCTTACAATTAAAATATATATATCATGTCATTCACAGATAGTACTGTTTTGCTGTATCACAGCTCCTCAGTGCGACTAGACAACTGAATGCCTCAAGCCCGGATCAAAACACAACCAATTTGGTATCAGAGCTTCTACCACTGAGCCATCTTCACTCGACAGAACAAATCAGCCAAATCTAGCGTATTGTTTTTACAAACATAAACAAACGCAAAGCAGACAAAGTGCTCCATTCGTTTTACTCTCTCTCTCTCTCTCTCTCTCTCTATATATATATATATATATATATATATATATATATATATACACACACACACATGTGTAAATAACATTAATTTTTATATATCAACAACAATAGGGAAAAATAAAGTTGAAAAACTACTTGTGTCTCACATATAATCGTTCAGGATTTCATTGGACGAAAATGATGTTTATGCAACTACTCAAGAAAGGGAACACTGAGAAATGTAAATTTAATTTTTTTTAAATTTTTTACTCTAAGTTTTTGGTATAAAATCTATCTGATTTCATTTGGATTCTTTTTCTTTTATATTTCTTTCACTTTTATTATTTATGTATCTGACATTGTGACCATTAAATATCTGCCAAGAAAAATGTAATTTTGTAAGAACCTGGATCAAAATTTACTATGTATTAAGTCCCAAAGGATAAGTTATCAGAAAAAATTTTTTTCCACTTTTTCCATTTTTGCCTTGAACCTCCTGACAAATGGACTGAACGAATACAAAAAGGTTCATCTACGAAATTATGGAATCCCTTAAGTGACAATATCTAATTTAGGTGCATTAGCATTCCCTAGGTAAAAAACAAATTTATTTATTTAAAAAAAAAAAAAAAAAAAGAATTTTCATTCATTTTTCTTGTTTACAACAAGAACTTTATTTCCTAATTGGCATAATGGCTTACTAGAAAACCCTTAAAAAAATCCAACTTCATAAAATTTAACATTAAGACAAAACTGGCAACTATTTTTTTTTTATTTTTACTCTCTATATTGTTATTAACTTAATTTTACCGTAAAAAGTTTTTTTTTTTTTAAACTGAAACATAGATTTCAGACATCCTGTCATATTTCCTTTTTTGTTTTTCCTTTATTTCTTTTGTAAACAAATAGATTTCATATTTATTTCCTAATTAATTTAAGTCAATTAAATGTTTTTAATATATTTTTGTTCAATCTTTTTCTCTTATGCATAAAGTGGTTAATTTTATTAACATCTGAGTCTTTTTCAATAGTATTTCTTTGGATATATGTCACTCAGTACTGATAGCACTTAAACTGAACAATTTCGGTCTCGTAAAACATTTCAATGCAGTTTAATGGTGTGAAGATGAAACTGAAAAAAGTTGCTTTTTTTGGGTTAAACCGCTCATCTGTAATATATATATATATATATATATATATATATATTGTTTATGGAAAACTAGGTAATCCGTATGGGTAGACCTTAGGTGGATAAAATCCAGAGAGGGCAATGTAAACCCAGAGCAAACATACATATATGTATATATGTGTGCGTTTGTGTTTTAAGTCTGTTTTTATTCTTATTGTAGATACTATTTGTTTTATGATTTTTCTTTAATATTTAAAAAAATATATGTCAATTTATCTTTCAGCTTCTGACCCACCACCTTTGTGTTTTGGACTCCCTCATCTCATTGGTGTTGGCATGTGCATTAAATTTTACAACTTGTCTCTGGCAAATCACTCATTTTCTGGTTGTGTCATGGTGCAACTGAAAGGTTTCGTGCGTGATACCTACAAGCTGGGTTGTTTTAAACTGCACTTCCCCGTCAATGCTGCTGCTGCTCCCCTCTTGGCAGATGACCGAGCAATGAGACTGTCACAGCCTCCGACTAATAACCTTGTGGTCGTGGCCAAAAAGAATCCTGATATGTCACTGCGCTTCCGTCCAGAGAAGAGGACCCACAAGGCTTTTAGGCGGGGACCACAGATACTCATCAATTAATACTATTTTTTTTTTTTTTTTTAAATTAATTTTTTTTTTGTTTTTGTTTTCTTTTTTGGCGGAGGCTAGTGCAATTTTCTTTTTATTTTGCCCATATATATAATATATATATTAAAATTTACTTTATAGAGAAAGTGCTCAGTGTTCGAAGTAGAGCATTTATTTAGAGATATATACAGTGTGGACATAGGAATTGTCACTATTTGGTAACTGTTAGCCAGTTCATGCTTCATTGCAATCTTCAAACCAGGATCTCTTGAGATATGAGATTTACAGTCACCATTCAGTGTTTATCCTATGTCTACACTGCCTAAACATATATATATTATTTTTTGTCTGTACATATGTTTGTGTTGCTATCCCTTTTTATTTTCTTAAACATTGAACTTAAGAACAACTGAATTCAATCAAAAAGTCTTAACGAAGAAAAGAAAAAAACAAACATAACAACTCAAGCATGTGCCCCCCTCCTAAAAATACCAATCTTAGTAATAATAATGTTAGATTAAGAAATGCTTTCAAAAATTATATAATGTCTTTGTGAATATTTTTACCTTCCAATTTTTATTTCCAAAGCTTTTATTTCCAAAGCTTTTATTTCCAAAGCTTTTATTTCCAAAGCTTTTATTTCCAAAGCTTTTATTTTCAGCATTTATTAGGGTTATGCAAAAGTTCAATTAATTATTAGGTATATGCAAGTTTTCTGCATTTTGGTTTTAAAGAAAAAAACTTCTACTTTGTATTTAGTTTTTAGTTTTCAAAAAAAGGGGTGCTGGGAAGTTTTACACATCCTTAATAGTTGCTTGTCTATTTTCTTTTATAAATCATCATAAAATTGCCAAGCACATCAGCTGAAGAGGAAGAATTGTTAGTGATCTTGATTTTTTTTTTTTTATTGATTTTTTTCTTGATTCTTTTTCACTGTTAAAGATTTTGTCCTTCAGCCTATTTTATCTTGTGTCTCTTTGTTCTTCAAGTCATTTTTGAGCCTTTCTGAACACCAGGAGAGAAGCTTATGTGCATGTCTGGTAATTGTGCATTCTAGGGACAGTCTCATCATCTAGTTGCTTCTCTGGTTAAATGTTAACCATAACCTTCTGGAGGTGATTTAGTTTGCAAAGCAAAAATTTTATGATTCAGATGAATGAATGATAGCATGTTTGAATTTTGCAGTTGTGTTGTCATATCCTGCTATGGCAACATAAAATGACCATGACTAAAATTAAGTAGTGCAGTAGAAGAGCCTTAAAAAAAAAACAAATGTGGTGGAAATGAAACTGTAGAACTACATTGTGTTAAAGATTAAAACATGTCAGATGAATAAAGAGTTATCCATTTCTTTAGTACTGTTAAATAAGTCATTGAACTACTTTTTGGATCAAACCAAATGTGAATGCAAATCAAACAAACAAATCAAGCAATCCATCAATTTTCACATTCATGTGTAAAATGCTGCATTTAACAAAAACGTTTTGTTCTCATTTGTTAAGAATTCAACTAGAAATGATCATTTTCTCATCTCTAATTGTGAACTCCTAGAGGAAATGGTAGATTCTCCCAACTAAAAGATTTCTTTTTGTCTATTGGTTATCATTTCATCCCAAAGCAAGGCAATAAAGCAACTTAAATGAGAATTAAAGAAACTGAGAAAAATGTTACTGAGTAGAAAGGAAAATAAAACAACTGAACATTTTATTTAAATTTTTGATGATTCCAATTGACAGGAAAGCATGAAAATGGAAGAGAGTTTCACAAGCGTGAAATATGAGAGAAGAAACTATTAGCATAGAACTAATGATTAGCTCTAGCAATTTCAACAGTAAAATAATGAGACCTTGCTGCCAATCTAGTACTGCACTTAAATTTGTAAGGTTGAGGTACCGACAAGAAAAATTAATCAAAACAGTTACTGTAAAATATTTATAGAAAAGGCAAAGGAAAGCTATAGGTAGGTAAGTGTTTGAAGCTGAGATGTCAGGTTAGAAATGATAATATTACAAATACTACTTTGTATTTCTCTTCTGAGCTTGGACTATTACCCAAATGTTTGTGTTTCTATTGGATGGAAAAGAAATTCACTGAAGTGACTGAGAGCAAATTCTAGAAAGTGTATTCTTTTGGTGTTTTTAAGTTGGTCATTTAAACAGTTGACCAAAATGTGAATCTTACCAAATTGTAACAAAACACTGATTCTGTCTTTGGTAACTTCTGTATTTTGCAAAGTGTAATCACACTTGTAGCTGATTCAATTTGGCCTTGTTCTCATAGGAATCAATCCTGAAGAGTTTTGCTTGAGAGATGATAACACTTTGTTTCCCATCACTTTCTTATATTCATCAGGTAGACATTCATTGAGAAAACACTAATTTATAAGTGTTGTTTTGTGTTGGGTCTTTCATTATTTATTTGTTTTATCAACACTTAATTCCTGGGATTTTATTTCTGACATAAGTAAAACATTGCGCTTTACATTGATTGCTAAGTCTGCTTTGCCAAAAAACTGTTTTTTTTTTTTTTTAAATTTTGTTCCTTTTTTTTGTTGTTGTTGTAAGTTTCCAAGTTGTCTTATCCCAACTCTCTCTTTACAGTGACCAATCAAATTTCAAAATTGATCAGATTATTAGATGCATGCTTCAAGGGCTAATTATGCTGTTTAAGAAACACTTTGGCCTTATTTGTTATATACCTATGATGAATTGATATACACATAGTAAACAAAAATGAAACCTCTCTTAAAAAAATTTGCATCTGAAGAATCGATTAATAAAAATAGAAAAGTAAATTTTGGCCAGATTAAAAGATTACTGAAGTTTTGGTTACAGGACTTATCGGTAATTTCAAAAAAACAAATATTAACTAAAGTTTTACCGATTTTCTTTTTTTTTGTTTTTTTTTGTGAATAATTCTTTGATCTATAAATTTTAATTTCTTTTTGTTTTAATTGTTTTCTTTCCTTTCTTCTATTTATTTTGTGAAAGTTTGTGTCCTGGCTAAAATCCAGTATTTATTTTTGACTTTTCATTTTTCCACTCTTAATTCCTTATGGATCAGTGGTTCTCATTTGATAATCAAAGTTAAGCAATGATCAACTTGGCTAATACCTAGATGTATGACTGCTCAGGAACACCAGGGACTTTAAACAATCTGATGCAATCTAAAGTCTCTTTTAGCTTTAAATAATCCAAAGAATTGATAAGCCATAATAAAACAAAATCAATCCATTTTTAATCATTTTCCTCTCCAGATACTTTCTTTTTCATTTCTACTTTCCCTCTTTGTATAACTCTTAGTTTTTCTTCTTACTCCTTTTCTCTCTCTTTCTCTCTCCATCTTCCTTTGTCCCTGATTTCAATCAAGCGCAATATTGTTTTGGTGGCCAGTCTTTTTCTCTCTTATATTTATTGCTTATTTATCTCCATCTGACCTCTTTCCTTGCAAATATTCCAAATATCAAAATCTTTAGATTAATAAAGATGAAAGATATTCCAAATGATGCCTAAATTTGTCTCCTTCCCTACTCAGCCTTTTTCATATATAACGAAACTTAGCAAATTAAACATTGTAAGAAAATTTGGCAATTCTCCACTGGCAAATATTTCTAGGCTTATTCACAAAGCAGATATTTCTGATTTTGTCTGTACAGGAATTTCTCTCAGTTTATATATAATAATGGACTCTCCTGTCGGTTTCAATGTATGAGGATCTGACATCTTAGTTGATTCAATTATGAAATTTTGTGCGATGATCTTAAGTGGCATTTAAGACCCACTAGTGATTTACAAAGGAGGCCACATATGGTGCAAGAGTGAAGATTGTGAGATGAGATCACTGTTAGATTGGCTGATATTTTAGTTCTTGCTCTCGCTTCTTGAAGATGATTCAGACAAGTGGATTGAAAACTGCTGAGTCCACTAAAACATGTTGATCTCCATTCTATCCGCTCCAAGGCTAAGCACTCAAGGGTGTTATGTGGTATATTGACAGCTGACAAGTTGCTTTTCAGCTTGTCTTTGTATATTAACTATAGATGTCCTACATTCCTGTAGCTCTGATCTAACTGGCTGTACATTAGGATCACTGGGTATCCTGTCATCAGACATTCTCAAAACATGACCAGTCATATATATATATATATATATATATATATATATATATATATATTATATTATCATTATAATAATAATAATAAAGAAAATAGTCCGAGCTGAATTACACTTGGAAAATTGGCTTATTTCCTAATTATATATATTTCTTGGTACTTTTCTTTTTAATTGTGAGGGAAATCAACTTGTAAATATACATCTCTAAAAGTAAAATTCAGTAAAGAGATATATAGAGATTATTTTATAGATTAAATTAGGTTAAATTTGTGTATATATTTTTTTTGATTACTATTTTTAATTATTATTCATCATTAATCCAGACAATAATAAGTTTTTAATGTTAAAATACAATCGATTACCGACTCTTAACACATATTTTCAGATTCTTTTCATGCTTCAGTTGAAAATCTATTAAACAAATGAATGTTTAAATAGATTTTGATTAACTATTGTGTTCAGGAAAATTTGCTCACTTTTACAGTTGAATCATTTATGCAAGTCATTTGATGACAATTATGAAGGTTTAGATAAATGATCAAAAAGAAACGATTTTCTTGTTTTTTCTTTTAATGTTTCTTTTTTCCACAATTTACTTTTTCTGAGTTTTGTATATATTGACTTTTAAAGCCTTAATCTATTATGAGTAAAAGCAAATAATATTTAAGTCTTATTTTTCATTTTATTCTATCAGTGCATCATCTGCAGTATGTACAAATTGGCTAACAACTTTTTACTGTGACCTATTTAAAAAAAAAAATTCTAAATAATCCTATGAATCATAGATTAATTGCATGTATTAATACAAGAATTTTACACAAGAGTTTGGTATCAAGCAATAAATGGCTTGTTTTGCAGCCTGATCTCTTAAAGGAAGCTCTTAGATTGGATTGATAAATTTCTGAATTTTTTCTTCTCATTTAAATAGTACCGAAACTGAGATATCTTTTTATTAAACAGGACAATATCAAATTACCTTTTTTGTGTATGTGTTTTTTTGTTTTTTTTTCTGAAAAATATACCTAACGCTTTAAAAGTCATTGCAAATATGTAAGATGTTATTATCTTCAGTTTCTGAAAAGAATAGATAATGAATTAACTTAGGTAAAAAAAAGCCATATACATAGACCACCTTGTGAGGAACAGACATTCTGTCAATTGTTTGTTGTCAAAACTATCATACCATTGGTTTTTTTTTTTTATATGCCTAAAAGAGATAAACAATTCTAAATTGGCCTTGTTTTGAATCCAATGTTGACTTCTGTTATTTCCATATAAAAAAAAGGGAAAATTGTCTTAAATCTGAAAATGTCTTGAGGTTCACCTTAAATTCCATTCTGTATTTCTTCATTTTTGATGTAATGGCAATTTGAATAATTTCTTTTTTGAAATTGATTTGGATATTTAATTTTGTCCTTTCCATTATTTCAGTGCTGATCTCTTTTTATCGGTCTTCTCTTGGGATGAGGTGGTTGCAGGTTTCCTCTCAGTTACATAGACCTCCTAAAAGCCAAGATTTGCAATGCCGTTTTTCTAGGCAATAAATCAGGCTCTGCCCTGTTTGAAGATTGATAAATTCTTCTTAGCCACATCCTGTTTAATCTTGCTAATCTAACTTTAATAAACGTTTTGTTTTCTGTTTAATCCCCAAAGGCTTAGCAACCTGATAATCGCTTTCGTACTCTTGACCCAATGAAATTCAAAGTGAGTTGTGGAATCCAAAAGGATGGGTTAAACTAGTGGTTCCCAACCGATTGTGGGCCATGACCCACTTTAGTATTTCTAAAATTTTGGTGCAACCCAGTAATATTTAATTGTTACATATTTGAAATTTTACTGCAATTTATGGGAGGGAAGCTCAAAAGGCTATTAACTTGGTCTCCAAACAAACCTCCAAAGGCCATGGTGTCCATGAAAGAGAAAAATTAAAAAAAGCAAAAAGACAGTTAAATATATATAGTTTCAAAACATATAATAGAGAACTGAAAGGTAGAAATATAAAATATTTGAATGAAAGTTTATTCTGTAATATACTTTGATTATTTTAATCATGAAATAATAATGTAAAATGAAATTTGAGCTCATCCCAAAATGACTGTTAGTGAGATCCTTGTGTGTCATGCCTGCTACAGATAGATTTTATATTAAGCACCAATTTAGTCAGCTTAAGCTACAAGTCTTCTCGTTTAGTGATATCCAGTCGATTTCTTTTCTTCAATAACAAATCATTTACAGCACTAAAGTCACATTCAACTAAACATGAAGATGGAAATGGTAGCAACAAATTTCTTGCAACGTTGGTTGAATTTGGGTATTTAGTTACTGCTTGATCACTCCTATGCATGCCCTACTAAAATTTTACCATACCCCACTGGTGAGTCATGTACCCCCATGTTGGGAATCATTGGTTTATCAGTTTTATTAAAATTCCTTTAATGGGAATTCCAACTCTTGAGACAATGGTCCTCTTTTTATCTCTCTTCATTTTCAGTCCATTCCTCCAAAAAAGAAACGCATTTATGATGTCTTGTATACTATGTTGTATAATTAATTGCTGCTTTTGTTGATATTTTTTTTATTTCAATTCTGAATAATGTTAACTGACATGTCAACTTTGCACTCTTTAGTCCATGATTTGTAACTTTAATAAAACATATATTTTTATTGTCTATAAAAGTTATTTGTTTTTAAAATGTTTGTAGGCTTCATTCCAGTTCTTATTTTGTGCTTATGATTTTTTTGCATATGAAACTTAAAAGTTGTTGAAAAAAAGCTTAAACAGTTACAAATTCAAACTGTGCTCTCACATCCGTCAACACCACCCAAGCCTCTTTAAACTGAAATATATCAATCATACATATCTGTAGCCACAGCCACTGATTGGCTATGATTCTTTGACAAACAACATCACTATTATGCAATGTAACACAATAACTACCATGCAAATTTATCAGTTATGCCATCTTTGTTGAAAGACTTTCTTCTTCAAACAGCAAAGTTTTCAAGAAAACACAAGAAACACTTTCACCAAGGTTATTTTTTTTCTTGTTCATCTGACTCATTTTTTTTTTCCTTCAAATATATTAATTGTATTTGCCATTTTATTTTTATCTACCTCGGTAGATTTAAATAGAAATAATCCAAAAATAATATCAGAATTCCAAAGCCTTATCTGAAATGTGCATTTTCCATTTCTGTCATTCATTAAAGTGTACAAAGTATAGAGACTGGCATTCTTGACACATAACCATTTCATTTATCTGTTGAGAATTTCACATCTTTCATTCTTTGCTTTCTCTTTTATTTGGAAAAAACTTATTTGAAATTACAAATAAACATGGCAAACATATGATTAACATTTCTGAATGAAATAAAACTTTTAAACCTAGCATTTAATAGATAATATTTGTTATTACTGTCAGAATATTTTAGATGAAGCCTTGTTAATATAGTGCACATAATTTTTCAGGTTATAATGGGAGCTTACTATGGAAGAAAGATTTATTCTCCCATATAATAATGCCCATAATGGGGAAAATAATATCTGATATAATAACAATCTACTTCATGGGTGTAATCAACTAGCTAAATTGAAAAAGAATGGCAAACATGGTTAGTTCTCAGAGTTTTATAATGCTAAATTTATATATATACACACACACATATTCCATGTAGAGAAGTTACAACATATATACAACAACAAACGGTGTGGTAAAAAAAAAAAATGGGAACTATACTTGTAATGTTTCCTGAATTGTTCTGGAGTTACAGTGATTTCACTACGAGCCTGTTTAGAACGTGGTGGTTTCGTTTTTTTGCAAGGCCTACCACTGTGGGTTAAGGACTTTCTTCTTTGGACACTGCATCACAACTCTTCATTCTATCCCCTGACATCACTCGCTAGATGTCACATGACCCTAGTACCTATCTCAAGGAAACGGAGATAATTGCTGTTTTTATCACTACAAGGCTATCATTTCCTACCTTGGCTATTTTATCAAAAAAACAAAAAACTTCCATATGGCGATCATATGTTTGTGAGCTTTATTAATTGAATATTTTGAGCTTAAAATGGGTTCTGGTTTGCTTTTAAATCGGCCTTTGTAATACTATTCCTAGTAAATTGATCTGACTACGTTTCCAATGTTTGTGGAATGCCAAATATGTGATCAAAAGAACAGCCATGGAAATATTGTTTCATTTGGTCAAATGTTTATATTTGACTATGAAAACATTGCTTTATTCACTTCGTATAATATGCGCAACAGTAATGTATTTTAAGGCTTTTTATCAATATGTAGGCAAATAACTTTATTAAAATAC